TGTATTTTTCAGTTGACACTAACGTTGACATTCCAGTCGCATAATTACTTCTATCTAGAACTGCTAAATAGAATGTACCCGAACCATGATGTTGATATTCATATTAGATGTCAAATCAAATATCTACCGCTTAAATCGTTACTCAGTCAAGTTTTGGCAAAAAGCACTTGGATTTCATTACTATCCGTGTGGTGTGTGCTACTTATATTGATATAAGTAGTATATGACGCCAGTCAGGAATGTAATGTCTGGCAGCAGAAGATGGGGAAGATCAAGAAAGCAATTAGTATGTAAATGCAAGAACAATAAAATTCGAGACAATTATTGAAGATTTTGCAAATGAAGTATTATAGTATGATTTTTCTACTTTACCAAGTAACTCTGTAATTTTGTGCTAAGTATAATTCGATTGTCCCCACCCGTGTTCTGTTCACTACATTCGTAATACATATATACAATCACTTTTACAGCTACCAACTACTATAGAACACAACTAATCACATAATCTGATCAATTTAATAATGAATATCAGTGACATGACAACAAAAATATACCATAAATGGTTATTTTGATTTCTATCCAATAATATTTAATATGGATTCATGTAAACACAAAAAAAAATATTACTCCTTTCCGCATGACTATTTAGGCCATAATTATGTTAATTTCTTACCTATTAATTTTCTTACACTCATAGTGTGACCTTCATTCAAACATACAAAAAAACAGCATTTTCATAATCGACAATTGAAAATAGAACATTAAAAGAAAATTAATTTACTATTATTAAACCTATTTAATTTTATTTGAATGTGTATTGTAAATTCTTTTTTATTATTATTTTATAGTTAAGTATTGAATCATTTAGTTGTATTTACCTTCCGGCATGCTAAATGAATTATGACAACCTTTTTCTTTTTCTTTTTTTTAATTAAATAGTTGAGAAGTTGGATCGAGCTTGTGAGCACACATGTAGGCATATATATATATATATATATATATATACATAAACACGCACACGCACAACACCTACGCATACATGCACACACACACACACGCACACGTGTACGTAGACATATAAACATATGAGAAGTAACAAATAACAAAATATTTCGGAGAAATAACTTTGAGAAGGAAATATAGTTCAACAATATATAAATATATAAATTAGATTGACAGTAATAAAAAGGAAAGATTGTTTATGTATTATTCAAAATGAATATAAAAAATGAACAATATTAAATAGAATAATAATATTTGAAGGGGTTTTGTGGAGATTGTAATAATTTCAACAGTTGAGATCATGAGTCAACATATGCTCACTAGTGACTGATTTCAAGAGATATATCCTGGAGTTCTAGTAAGAAGCAGTGGCCAGTTGTGAGGTAGTAACTCACTGATGACAATGGTGGATGTGTCGCTCAATCTCGTGGATCAATTGAAGTTAGACATTAACACCGTTCAATGCTGGCTCAGTGGTCTAGTTGGTTAAGTGCCTGGTGCGACACTGATAGGTCCTGGGTTCGAATCTCGCAGGGTGCGGGATCGTGGATGCACGCTGCTGAGGAGTCCCGTACTAGGACGAAACAGCCGTCCAGTGCCTTCAGGTTTTGCATGGTGGTCTAGCTTCAAATGACTCATGATCTCAACTGTTGAAATAATAATATTTATTTATTTTTATTCTTAGAAAAAATAAACATTTTCACCTGAATAATCTTGTCATTATATAATGCTTTCATTAATTTTTATTCCTTCTTTTGACAAATTAATATATCAGTAGGGGGTTTATGAAGATTGTAGAAATTTAATAGTTGAGATCATCAGTCAATTGAAGTTAGATCACTATATGATTCTCATCATATGAAAAGGCTAATATTTGTTAATTTGAATCAGCTTATATGTTAAGTGAAAATTTTAAGATCCATAATCAGAATAACTATGGATCAGATAGGGTGAGAGAAATAATAGTGCAATTACAAATTCGATCAAATGTTTAATGGAAGACTATATTGTGTAGAATATTAGTAAGATATAATAAGTAACTTAATGTTTATAGTCTTTAAAGTCGACAATTGCCACTTAATACAAAATTTAAATGCCAAGTTTCCTGTCGACTACTCCAATCACTTAACATTTAAACTCGGTGATGGGTGTTGAGTCACTTAGATCAGTAACCGTATTGTATCATTCGATCATTCCTCATGATTAAACAGACATCACATTGATCAATTAATGTATTTTATGTGAACGTTGAAAATTGGATTTTATTCATTTAACTTCGTTATAACATTTATCATATATTTTTTTCAGTTTTATAAGTTTAAAACAATGTTATTTAGTATTGATAAACACGCATATGAAAGTGATTAATTACAGCCAAAAAATACATTAGATCATACGATCATATGTTTACTATGTTCATCTCTGGATTAGCTAGAATTTATCTCTTAAATCATATAACAAGATGTAGACATTTCTATCGTCAATCTTTACTCTGCTAGTGTCTTCTTTTACTTCTAACCAATATGATTTAATGTTTTATTTTGTTTTCCTTTCCATTTAAACAATTCCATAAGTTGCAAACTGATTATACTGTCTCAAATGTATCTTTCTTATCTACTTCGATCATATTGTTCAGATAAAATTTATCATTTTATCAGGCATTTGACGTCTTAACGTTTTTTTTTTTTTTTCATTTTCGTCTAAGAGACAAGATACATAACGAAATCTTAGTACTGATTATTTTTTTAAATCTTTAGTAAAGTTTTTAGTGAAGCTTTTCTAAAACAAAATCATAACTGAAAATATAGGACTTATGAAAAAATCAACTCAACTAACTTAACTCATATTTCATTAGACATATGGATAGTTTCAGTTGGTCATCTACTATTGCAGCAAAAGATTTGGACAGTTTAGGATATATTTCTAATTGACATTTAATGAATTTAATAATAAACAAAATTTTCTCTTTTTTAGATTAGTTGAAAAGTAAAAACAAACCCTGCAAATTGAAAACATATTTACTTAAGCATTGTCAGCTGACCATGGTCAGCTAAAATAGCAATTAATTCAACAATATACTTATCATCCTAATGTACCATAACTTAACATAACTCTTGTTTGTCACTAAGCTGAAGAAGTCGAATTACATCCATTTATCTTTTCAAAAAAAAACACAACAACAATAAAATCAAGGATAATTACAATTGTAATATTATGTACAGAAGTTGTAATATACATGGTCTTATTATATTATTAAAGTAACTCATAAGATACAGTAAGTAACCCTAGTACACCAGTAAGATTCGTCAATTCAGTTTTATTGAAAGTGAAAAGATGTAATGGTTAGTTAAATATTAAAAAAAGTGTAACGTCATTTAGAAAATGAATTGTTAAAACTATTTTATTAAAAGTATTATGTATCTATTATAGCTTAGTGTTGAGCGTATAATGAAATTATGTTATCCTCTTTATTTATTTTATGCACATAGTTCCCTTTATTATCTTAAAGAGAGCAAGAACAAAGGTTGGTGCAGCATTATATGAATTCATTTTATTTCATTAGATTCTCATCAGCTGCTTACAACCTAAAATATGTGAAAATCAACGTTATTACAGATATCGACATACTTATACATAAGAGGGTAACTAAAGATGAATATATGTATCATGATGTAGTGAAGATTTCAGTAGAGTTAATAAGGTTATAAAAATTTTTGTTTCGGATAAGTAAAGTTTGAGAGGGAAAGTTCTAGAACATTGAACTAGTGATTAGAATTCATGGAGTTAACAAACGTTATATGATTATGTAATTAAGCAACTGTAAATAGATCGAGATCAGTCAGTTATGAATTAACGAAAAATGACAATGATGTAATTTAAACTTCAAAAAGAGTTGAAATAATGAATAACGTAATAAATAAAAAGGAAATACAAAAAAACGGGGGTCAATATTTTTATGGCAAAGAAAGATTTATTACTTTCTGTTTTTGTATACAGAGATCTGGTTTCAGACGTTTAATTGCTATTGCTTCGGCAAATTTCAAAAGGTTAGAGTTTGATTGTTTGTTAATCACTTTTATTTATTGTATATGTGTCTACATTTTTCTAAAAGCTACTTCCACAAAATTTTTATGCATTAAATAAAATTTACATTCAATCATTCTTTTACCAGGGAGTAATAAAAAAGATCTGAGCGAACTCTTTTTTTTGATAAAATTTAAAACCTATTTGTCATGTATGAAGTTGCAAGCTTATTGGTTAGAACGTTTCAAGATTTGAAAAATAACAACTTGTATATGGTGCTTAAGTTAAACAGATATTTAAAAAGCAAAGCTTATTGTGGTAGAATGACATCCTAAAAGAAACATACTTGAATAGTTTAGTTAGAAATGTTGAAATATTATTAGGTCACAACAATAATATTTAAAGTATAAGATATCCCTACTTCCTACTATGTATATAGTTGTATCTTATATATTAAGTCGAGTGATCAGCAACTGTATTTCTGGCTAAACGGTTTAGATTGATTATGTTATATGAAAGGTCACGATTTATATATATATATATATATATATATATATATATATATATATATATATATATATATATATATATATATATATATATATATACCTTGATTGGTTGGCAGAGTTCAGTTTTTGTTATAAATGTCTTACGTTTAGACACAAATATTTGATGTATTATTCCATTCTTATTTTGAGTATAAAGGCGAGAAAGACATATATATATATATATATATATATATATATATATATATATATATATATATATATATATATATACATGCAAAGACAGTGAATAGAACAGACAGGTCATGTACATGAGCAATAGGATTTGGTGTTTCGTAAGAACTATAATGTTCATTTCGATCATTCAATTGTTGGGTTTCTATTGTACATTCATTTCGTCAGTATTTTTCTTATACTCATATGTATGCACAGACAAGTACATATATGTACGTTAACGTATTCATAGACATACGAACAGTTACACAAAAGAAATTATGTATAGGTATCCGATTCTTTTGTTTTACAAAAATAGAATATAAAAAAAAAAGAGAAGATAGGACATTATGGAGAATGAATACGGAAGGAAATAAATGAAAAAAAATTCTATTCTCATTGAATATGGTTAATTGTAATTCTGTTTGAGATAAATAAAAATATCTATGAATGTATGTCAAAACTGCTAACCAATGCGATTTATATAAATATACACATCTATATGAATATATATAGAAATGAATCGATGTGCACAAACTGGAGACTATGTTGGTGAAATTCAAATTACTGTATTCATAAATTACGCTATAATCTAACCTTTATTACATAATCTTTATATTATATGCATAATGTGAATGGATTTAATTTCATAAATAACGCTGATGATATTTATTTGTCTTCACGTAAATGAATATTTAATTAATTAACTGTTATTTAATTACAAGTATGCAATTATAAGTTATTCATTTGTTAATTAACAATAAGAAACCCGAAAACAAAACGATTGGATAATAAATAGGTATTAAAGCAGGCTTATTGAAATATAAACTATTTATATGTGTATAAATCCATATATACCTCCAAGTAATACATATGCAAAATTATCAAACGTATTCAAAGGAAATACCACATAGCAAAACATGTACTCCACAACTGAAAACTATTATTAATACTGCTACTACTACTACTACTACTACTACTACTACTACTACTACTGCTACTACTACTACTAGTACTACTACTGTAGCGGCTACAAGCACTGCTTCCATAAATACTACCATCGATAGTCCTATAACTACCTCAAGTTATATGATCACGAGTAATACAGTAACTGGTTACAAAAATAAATCAGAGCTGAAATCCACCGGAGAAGTTATTCCGTCATATCCATCATCTACTTTAAGTGTTATTTCTGTTCTCCCTAATTGCATTATTACCACTAGTAGTACAACACACCCAACCACTGCAATAACAGATTCAAATAAAAATGAATTATCAACATTTTGTTTGTTACCTACTCAAACTAATATTTACACTACTGTTTCTACTGTCAATAGTACTGTTAATGATAATGTTGTTACATCTAGTCCGCTGACAAATTTAACTTCATCACATCAGTTCAATCAATCAACTTCTAAGATAATATCTAAACATTCAGATTTGAGTTTATTGAAACCTAATCGACCATCACTGATTCGTAGAAAAGCAAATATATCTGAATCGGATGCATTTGATATTATTAATTCTGTAAAAATTATTACAACTAATACAACAAATAGTAGTAGTAGTAATAAAAGTAGTATAGCTTGTACACGTAATCCAAGTATGGATACAAATTATCTCATTAATAAAATCAATTCATTTGAAGAAGAGAATCAACAACAAATTTTATCTTCTGTAAATAAAATCGAATCTACAAAATTAGATGGAAATAAAGTTAAATCTAGTAATACGTGTTCATCATCGACATATACATCACAATCATCAACAACATCTCCTTTGGATCATCATTTATTCCTTGATTCTTTTGATAATAAAATTAAAGAGAACAATAATAAAAGAAAACCTAAAGACATTGAAACATCGAACTCTGGTATAGAATATAAAACAATAGTTAAATCAGCATCAATATCACCAACAAAAAAGAATTGTTTAAAACATCAAATATCTCAACCAATGAATTTACGTAATCGTTCAACACGTAAAATGAGTTCATCATTTTATAGTAATTCTGATACAAGTTTTTTATCAATGTTAGCTGCTAGTAGACCATCAGCTGCTAAAGGTTTATTAGGTGTAGCAAGCGCTGCATTAGCTGCTGCTAGAGCTGGCACATTTATTAATAATCCATATAATACTATAAATGAAACAATTCATAAACTGGATATTTCTAGAAATTCAAGATCTGTAGAAAGAAATCAACAACAAATGAATTTAGGTTTATGTTGTTGTCAGTATCGTTGTTGTCCTTATAAATGTCATCATGATGATTATCATCCTAATCATCATCTTCATCCTCATGATCATCAATCTAAACTGATAAATTCACCATCATCCAGACTGAACTGGTTAAACGAACAATTGTCGTTGTTCGGTTATAGATCAAGACGATATTCTGATCCCGCTCTAAATGTGACTGATGAGAAAATGGATATGGCTTATATAAAATTGTTAATATATTTATCACAAAAATCATTCGTTGGTGATGAATATGACATGATTAAGAATAATAATCAGTGTTATTATCCTATTGAAACTACGCAGACAACAGATGACATTCATAAAATTAATCGTAAAGCATCTTTATATGATCCAATGGCAATGCCAATAAAAAAGGATGATTATTTTCTTAGCGAGTTAACCGACCGTAATTCTACTATATATAGCAGTCTCATGGATTTAAATATGCCAGATATTTTGTCACCTAGCGATAGTAATGTAGGTGAAATAGGTAAGTGTAATTCAACAATACTGCTTAATAGAGATCCTCCATATAATGATTTATTGGAAAAGAAGAATAATCCTAGCACATATAGATATTATACACCTAATATAATACAACAACATACTGATAACGTACAACAACATCATCAATCATATTATGAGGAAAAAGCAAATCAGTACACATCACAGTTACAGAAAAATGATCCCAAAGAAGTGAACAGTGGTACATCTAAGGGAATTGGTTATGGAGGGATTCCTGCTGTGCCCACAGTAATCCCTGCTAATATACCAGCTGCTCATACAATCAAATCAAAACGTACAGGACTGGATGCAATCGGATTGGATTTTATGCGCGCAAATGGTGCCAGACCGGGTTAGTTTTCAATATATATTTATGTATGTATATACATTGTATACCTAGTCAAAAGATTGGTTTGTCATGAAGTGTAGTACATCACTGTTATATATTACCATAAAATAAACTTCTCAGTTTCTTCTAATTAACATAGGGTTAATTTAATTAAAATATGTTGTGTTTAAGTCATTTACTTTATCTTGATCATACATTGCCTTATACATGAAAAAACATTTTCTGGGAAATGGTATTAGAGATGGTTTAATTTATATATTGTGATATTAAGTCTTTATTTCGGTTATGATTTTATATAATAAATTGCTGTTGGCTTATGTGTATACCTTTATTTAAATATATATTACTTCAGAATTAATAATGTATAAGTTCAAATTACACATGATCATTTTTAGGAAAATACAATCTAATTATTACGATGATTAAGACATGGATTGATTGAAGTGAGACATTAATACTGTTGAATATCGACTCAATGGTCTAGAAATTAAGTGTTCGCGTGCGAGACCGATAGTATCTGGGTTCAAATCCTATAGGCAAAATCGTGGATACATACTGCTGAGTAGTCCCATACTAGAACGAAACAGCCATCCAGTGTTTACACGTTTTCCATGATGGTCTATCTTTAATTGACTCATGAATCCAACCATTAAAATTAACACATATAACATTTGTAAATTATTTTGTAGTTCATTTATTCTTGATCCATATGATACAAATAAATAATTTCAATGGTTAAGATCATGAGTCAGTTGAAGCTAGACCACCATGGAATACCTGGAAGCACTGGACGGCCGTTTCGTCCTATTGTGGGACTCCTCAGCAGTGCGCATCCACGACCTCGCCCCCTGCGAGTTTCGAACCCAGGACCTACTGGTTCCGCGCCCGAGCACCTAACCACTAGACCACTGAGCCGGCCGGCATCCAACGGTGTTATTGTCTAACTTCAACTAATCTCCGAAATTGAGCGACACATTCACCATTGTCTTCAGTGAGTTACTACCTCACAACAGACCTGGTTGAACTCCACTGGTCACTACTTCTCACTAGAACTCCAGGATATACCTCGTGAAGCCAGTCACTAGTGAGCACTGCTGAGGAGTCCCACAATAGGACGAAACGGCCGTCCAGTGCTTCCAGGTTTTCCATGGTGGTCTAGCTTCAACTGACTCATGATCTTAACCATTGAAATTACTACAATCTCCACAAAAAACCCATCTGATATTAAACAAACAAATAAATTGAACCATTCATTTTAATGAGAGAAAAAAGACCAACAACCAAACAAATTATACCAAGTACAACCTACCTTAGTTAACTCTATTTTATAATGAGTTATTTATAATGTGAATAGTTGAAAAAAATAAAGTTTAACTTCTATGTATGTTTGATTTTTCAAAGATGCATTATTTCTATGAATATGTCATGACATTGAATGAAACCATAGTTATTATCTTTCTAAATACATTTCAATGTAAACATTCAGGTAATTACTAAATTACAATAGAATACAATTACATCCAACTATTAAATTTGACAATCATAAAACCATATTATAAAAATTGTCAAAAAAACAACAACTCATTATCATAGAAATTTATATCAATAAAAATGTTCCTTTATTTATTCATTGCTCTAATGAATCATTAAATTAATTAGTTCTCTATTCAATAAATAAAACATTGAATCAAAGTAGAATCAAAATACTTTGCTAATCACCTTTTCATTGACATAATATTAATATAAATGTATATAACGATAATAATAATACTGAACGGATTATGTTACTCATATAGTTAATCTAAAATAAAATCAATTCCTTGATGACATGAACGAGTTATACTGATGTTCATTGTGACATTTCCCTACTGTTTTGATTGTTTGTATCCATATTCATTGAAAGTATATATATATATATATATATATATATATATATATATATATATATATATATATATATATATGACATTGATAAACACTTATGACTTAATAAATTACTACATACTAACCAGTATCGGTTTGAACATTACTGACGTATATATTTGTATATAACTATGATAGATTTTTGTTGTTGTAAATAATTAGAAAAAAACTAATTGTAATGATAAGTGTTTTTTTCTCATTTTCCTAGTTGTTTAGTAAGGCAAAACATAATCCAATCTTTTTTTTATATAAAAATGAATGAATATCAATATAAGTAGTATAAATAGATTTGATGAATTTTGTTTCTTTGAAATATTTTGTATTTGGCTTTATTGTCGGTTTGTTAATTTGACATTAATATGAATCATAATGATAATGTTACTAACAATAAATATATAAACGGAAATATTAGCATAAAAAGAATGAATAAATAATAGTTGTAGAAATGGAAAGATATCCCTTCATATACTTTACATACAGATATAAGCTTGACGTGAATTCACTTGTGTTTGGGCTTTCATCTAAATCAGCATTACGTATTAAAGCAATAATGGAGGTTATTGTTTACTTTATTAAGATTTAAGCATGTGTATTCGAATTCATAATAGTTATTTATAGGAGATCAGAGTGTGTTATTTATTAATTAACCTAGGCTTTTTGGTCATAATTAGTTTCATGACTTATATTGGATTTACTCAAATGTTTAATATGTATTGTCTACCTGGATTTTACTTAATACGGGAATCTAAACATCTAGATGCTTAATAAATGTAACTGATAGTAAAGATTTGGAATTTGTAAACACTTAGCTCAGGTACAGTTTTTTAACAGTTTAGTGGATGGATATTACTCTAGATTTATGAACAGGTTGGAAAACTAGAAAATATCAAATGACTTTCAAAGGTTAGATCTATTTGATTCATATGTTTGTTTTCTGTAAATAGTAATTACAATCTTTGCTACAAATTAAAATAAAATCATTTAAACCTATACAAACACAACTAGATTTTGAGCTGGTTAGTTCAGTTCATAACCAATTAGAAGATTAATATTTGGACGAAGAATATTCTTTCGAAAAAATTCTCTTCAGATTCTACAATTATATATCCAAATTAATAATCTGAAAAATGGCCAGGTTTAGAGCAATGTGCATTGTTAATAGGGCAATTACAATTCGATCAAATGTTTAGTAGAAGTTTGTATTGTGTAAAAAATTATGAGCTAGACATAATAAAATTGCATGAGTGTGAAGTAAAGGAATCATGTGTTGGGAATATTAATAATGATGTTTAACCAATCGTACTACCAATAATAATAATAATACAAAGATAATTAATTAATTTGACACAGCAAAACTTATCATCTGATAAGCAAATATAAATAGCAGTGGAATCCATGACACACGATTCGTCCTATTTAGGACTCGTCAACTGAATGTACCTGCATCCCAGAGTTGATGTTCACACTGGGACTCGAACCCAGTACCGTTCGCTTCAAATGCCTTTGTATTATCTACTAAGCTACTGAGTCCTGATAACCACCTACTTGTGCAATCGTGTGAAGTTTAAGTTCACTTGATAGTGTTAACTAGAAACTTTTGATTGATGTTTAGGTCTGCAATTGATCAGTCTCTTATTGGCATATGTGCATACTACTAGCCACCATCCATCTTTGTTTATAATGCTTGTAAATTAAGGCAATATCGAGGCGATACGCACATGATGCACATATGCCAATAAGAGACTGGTCAATTGCAGTTCTAAATAACAATGAGAAGATTCAAGTAAACAATACCAAATAACTTTACCATCTCATGTTAAAATAATTTCAAATATTCACAGATGCTTTTAATATTAAATTATTGAATTTATCTTTGTACTAAATGAATAATTAATTGGCATCATTTGAAACACCAGACAGAAATCAGTAGCGTTTACGTCATTAACGACCACAATAAGTCAAAAACAAAACAAAAACAAACTTGAAATCATTAAACAATGAAATACATTAATAAAACCATTCCTCTTTAAAATTTGTTTTGTTTTGTTTTATATCTAAATGAAATTGTTTCCTGAATTAATTCAGTCATTAATAAAATGATTTCAGTCTACTCTCAGACTAATAATCAACTAATATAAATCATGATATGATCTTTAACAGAAACAATTCAAAAAGTTAATCATTAACTTCAATTGATTTCACTGTCTAATTTATTAATTTACCATACTACTACTACTACTACTAATAATAATAATAATAATAATAATAATAATAATACCGAACGACGCCATTTTTATTATTGTCTTTTTAATTAATAAACTACTTAATTATTTTTGTTAAATTTATCTAAATTTTATCATCAAAATTTTCGTCATTTTCATTATTGTTTGTAAATTAAGTAAATGAAAATAATAAACATTTATTAGTAGTATAGAATTCTCTTGAAAAAAAAATAATTCCATTTCATATATAATTCTCATAAATACTCATGTGAAATCACTCTCCCCCTCCTCTCAAAAAAATTATACATTCAGTATATGTGAAAATTATATTTGAAATAATTTCAATGTTTCATCCAGCTATCATGTCTGAACTTCTTCACGGTAATAATTAAAATCAAAGTCATCGAAAATATATATATATATATATATATATGTTTATATAAACCCTGAAGAAGATCAAACAAGTTAGTTGGACGAAACATTGAAATTATTTTAAATTTCAATTGCTAAGATTATATGAAATATAATTTTCACATATGATAACTACTTTATACTTGGCGCCTAATTATTATCATACTATTCATTTCAATATTGACGAATATTTGTATCAATTATACAGTTAATAATATAAATTAATTGAAGTAGACTTTTTAAAAAAGTTTCGAAGAACATTTATTGTTGTTAGTTATTGAATTGCTTTAAAACAAATAATCCACTGATAGAATACTTATCAGTTAAGATAATGTTGGCATATAAAGTTAATAAAATCAGTTGATTTTAGTGAAGTATTCTTCTACAATGAGTTTAGTTTCAATGCTATTCAGTCGTTTATGTATAGAATAGATCAATAAATGGTTG